TTTTATCTTCTCACCTTACTGTCTATCCAAATTTCTTCCCATGTGGGCCAGACAAGTATGTTATGAATGAATGAACATTGGGCCCACTTCCAGCTTTTCTCCGTGAAACCAACTTTGACTCAAGTCTTCAGTGAGTTTCCTCTCTTAATTTCTTTTCTTTTTTTTTTTTTTTTGAGATGGAATCTCACTCTGTCAGGCAGGCTGGAGTGCAGTAGCACGATCTCAGCTCACTGCAACCTCTGCCACCCAGGTTCAAGCTGTTATCCTGCCTCAGCCTCCCGAGTAGCTGGGACTACAGGTGTGTGCCACCACACCCAGCTAATTTTTTGTATTTTTAGTAGAGATGGGGTTTTACCATTTTAGCCAGGATGGTCTCAATCTCCTGACCTCATGATCTGTCTACCTTGGCCTCCCAAAGTGCTGGGATTACAGGTGTGAGCCACTGCACCTGGCCTCCTCTCTTAATTTCTTTACAATTCATAGTCTCAAAAATTTAGCACTTTAAAAAATATATTCCCTTTCCCTTCTTTTAAAAATATTTTGTCCCTTCTCCTCCCCACCCTGACGGTATTACAAGCTGTCTGAAGAGGGCTGATTTCTAAGTCAAATAAACTAGAATGAAACCCTAGTACTGCCATTTACTAGTTGTGGCATCTGAGGCACCTGGGGATGAGGATAATAATTACTTTTCAGGGTTGTTGAAGGGGGTAAAAGAGGCAACTTATATGAAGCCTAAAGCATGTTATATGAGCTCATTAAATTCTTGTTCTGAGATTAATTTGCCAATTCTTTTCTAGGCAAAGCTTTCCTTTTAAGGAGTTGAGGGAGAGAAAGACCTCTCTTTTTTTTTAAACCAAGGACACAAGTCTCCAATTTTTGTTCCCAAACTTATGGCCCCTTAAACTATTGAAGATTTTATGAACTTTCATTTAATTTCATTCTTACAGCTTAGTTGTTTATTGCTTTCAGATCATTTTTCTTAACAGACATTAATTGAGCTACTATTATGTGTCAGATACTGTACTTGACACAATGAAGAAAATTTCTATTAACTTCTAGAATCCCTGTCTGCAGATGTGTGAAATAGTTCTTTATGCCATGGATTCTTACAGTATTCTTCCTTTCCCTATGTACATGTGCCATCTTAAATATTGAACTTGGGCAAGGGAAGAAAATATGTATGGATAGAACCCAGTGGATTATAGCATTCAAAGTTGCTTTTAACAGGCTGAACACCTAGGATACTGTTTGTTCAAGGCATGAGCCATATCCAACTCATGTCATACTATAGCTATTATGCTTACATTAACATATTGTTGTATTCAAGTAACTATGCCTTACATCACATCATTTGAGCCCCTTTGTCTTTATTTTATTATTAATAGATGTAGATACACTACTTTAACTCATGGTCACCATAGTTTACCCCATTTTAAGTTTCTACATGCAATCCATTTAGTCATCAAACACATGGATCCAAAAGCATTATTTAGCTAGTCTAACAGTATTAATAGTTTACCACCAAAAATTCCTGACAAATTTGTTTTTGTAAAGGTCAGAGCATTCCTAGTTTCTAACTAGGATAAAGCAGCTTACTTAGATTTATAAGACAAAAACAAAGCTAAAACAAGTTTGCTTCGATGACACCAAAAACTCGGTAATTGTTTGTCTCTTCGCACTTGTAGTAATGGATGGCAAATGGATTATTATTCATGTTGGTAGTTTCATGGAGTTTTCAAGTTGGGAGATACCAGCTGGTCACTTGTTCCTCAGGTTGTGGTTTATGAGCCTGCAGCATTGGCATAACGCAGGAGTTTGTTCAGAATGTGGAATCTCAGGCGCACCCTAGATCAACTCAATCAAAATCTGTATTCACAAAATACCCAGGTGATTTTTATACCCCTTAAATTTTCTGAAGCACCATTCTAATCCACCTCTGCCTCTGTCCCTTTTTAAGAAATAAGAAACTTCAAATTCAGAGTTAGTGCAGAGCTAAGATTAAAACCTCAACCCCCTGTCTCCAAGGTTACTGCTCTCTTCTGTGCTCAGGGCGACCTCAGGAGCTTCTGAGTATAGCATGGAAGTGAGTTCCTTTTCTGGTTGAGTTTGGCAGTCTAGTAAAGAAGACTGCATGATTAGAGAATCACCTTCTCTTTAACACCCGTTCCTTTTCTGTGAGAAACAGTTTGGCTTATCATCTACTATTGCCTAAAGCCTCCCAAAGAACAGTGAAGCCTTAATGAGACCAGAACCCTCTTATTGTCTTGAATTTTAGATGTTTGTCAGCATCTATGATAGGAATTTTACCATCTGACATTCTTTCCCTAACTCACAGCTCATGATTTTGTAGTACATCTCCATTCATACGAGGAGGATAGAAAAAGCTGCGCCAAACCCTGTTAACAAAACAGTCCCCTGAAGGGCTATAATATTGCTCAGTGGTAATATCATCCCTATGCATTTTATCTTGTACATGAAATCTGGGCTAATTATCATTTTCTCATACAATACATTTTAGACCATTGTGTTTTTGTGTCCCTGCCTAGTTCATTAAGCAGAGTTTTACGGCTTCTCCAGTAACAGGATTGCTATTGACACTTTCATTAGACCCATAATTCAAATGCTTGTCTGCCTTCCAAATGGAAGCCTCTGAGTCCAGAACCACAATCTGGCCACCGACCGTATGTTGGCTTTTAGAACTGTCATAAACTCATCATCACATTCAAGTTCTTGAAGGGTCAAAATCTGCTTTCTTGGTGAACTGTCTTCATCCAACAAACAGTCAACGTGATCTCCAAGAATAGTCAGCCAAGTTTTCTCTGTCTCTCTCTGAAAACTCTTCCAGACAGTTCTCAGTGTGGTATGACTATAGCATAAATAATCAGTGTCCACATTTAAATATTAATTCCCTGATTTATTCATTCATTCAATTATTTTTACCATTTAAGACCAATATACCAAATAATATGGTAGTTGCTATAGTGATTTAAAGATGAATAAGATGGTGTCTGCCTTGGAGTTTCTTATAGTCAGAAGATACGTATATAAATCACTATATGAAAAATTTCACCACTAAGTTGCCAGCAGATGGAATGGCTATGATTATAGATTTCTGTGCTCTAACTAATGGCTATTATCAACACTGGCTTTTTACCAATGGTTCAAATGGAAATAGACTCGACTAAGTAGAACTGAATATATATATAAATGAAATATATATCACAGAATATAACGTTAGGAGCAAATGAAACCAATTCCCCAGAAAAATATCTGATGGACATTAGAGAGAAGGTGGGATTGGATCAGAGACAGCAATTGCTTTAGTGAATCATGAAAAATAGTCTTTCATTATTAGTAAGATTTTGGGTTTCTCTCTAAAAAGCTTCAAGAGGAAGTTCAATGAAAATATTTGATTTAATTTGCAATAACCTTTTTTAGGGGTGCCTCCTAGAAATCAAAAAATTTTGCTTTTGACTGGGTGCAGTGGCTAACGCCTGTAGTCCCAGCACTTTAGGAGGATGAGGTGGGTAGATCAGTTGAGGTAAACAGTTTGAGAACAGCCTGTTCAAGGTGACAAAATCCCATCTCTACTAAAAATACAAAAATTAGCAGGGGGTGGTGGTGCATGTTTGTAATCCCAGCTACTGGGGAGGCTGAGACAGGAGAATCACTTAAACCTATGAGGCAGAGGTTGCAGTGAGCCGAGATTGGGCCACTGAACTCCAGCCTAGGTGATAGAGCAAGACTCTGCCTCAAAATAAATAAATAAATAATAAATTCTGCTTTTAATTTTTACAGAAGTAAAGATCTTCAATGTTAGTGAAAACGCAGGAAATTTGAACAGATTATGTGCCATCAGTGTGCAAGAGAAGATTTTAACCTTTACAGAAGACTTAGCAATTTAATTAAACAGAAAATTATAGATAATGTGTTTTAATATACAGTTAGATATGTTTGGTTTAAATGACTGCTGACTGATTGGGTACTTTGCTTTTGCTTTCTGTCCAATTAGATCACAGAGGAAAAAAATTGCTTTTTGGGTAGTTTTCATCTTCCTTATAACTATGCCTAAAAAAAAAAAAAAGAAAAGAAAGAGAGGAAAAAAATGGAAAAGACAAAAGTATGGTCTGGCGCCATTTATTCAAGTCTTTACATGGGTGTTGAATTTACCTGAGCACACACACATTGGATTACCTACCTCATTAGCTTTCTTCCAACCAAACCCAGAGCTGCATTCCTGAAATGGGAAGGTCCTTTCCTAGAGTGGACTCAGACTGTTAAGCAGAGGAAGTGTGTGAGACTGGACTGCACTGCTAATTGGGATAATGTGGCTTCATTTTGCAGTAATATTGCTGTGCTATTGAAAAATGACTTCGGTATTCTTCCCAGTGCATTTCTTTCTACCACGTGTGCCTTCATAAACATGTCCAATCGTGTGATGGAGGTCAACGACAGTGTAGGGTTTAGAAATTGTTGCTTGGAAATCACACTCACTTAAATACCTGAATCTGTCCATCAGCCGTGCCATAGCTTATTCCAAGCCTGTGCAGAAGAGTGATTTGCAATCTCCTTGCTTTTCATTTCAAGTAGCATCACTCACTTTAAGCCAGATATTCAGGCCTCTTCAGAAGCCTCCAGGGTGAAGGACAAGTAAGAAGAAGCTTATCAAATCTTTCACAACTGTGGCCAGCTACATCTACTCCTGCATCAAACTCAGTTCATCTGTGGTGTTTTATTTCAAAATCACATATTCTTCCTTTTACATGACAAATAATAGAGATTTTGCCACACAATTTCAGGATCCAGATGGCTCTTTTGTGGCTCTATACATTTAATTGATCGCTATCCAGGTTGAAGTCTGAGCCAGAATGTCTGGGATGGAGGAAGAGGACATAATGTTTATTTTTGCCAGTCCTTCTTTGAGTTATCTTCTCTGATCGTCTATAAACTCAGGTTGCATAACTGCATTCTGTTTTTTTTTTTTTCTTTTTCACTTACAGGGACTTACCAATTTGGGCTTCTTCCAGGAGCTGAAAACTGATTACAAATATGAAACAGATTTCACTATAGGACTTGAACTCTACATTAAAAAACAACAAGCTCCCCAAAATAATTGAAAAAGATCTTCACCAAAGAGTAGCTGCAATGTGAATGGCAGGACGTGAAGCAAGTTAAGAGGTAAATTTTGAATGAAAACATCTTTTCTTTATGGCCAGATATATAGAAAATATTATTCTGGGCTTAAGGTAACATTCTGTCTCAGGTAAAGGTCAGAGGACAGAGGATCTTTATATAATCAGCAAAAAAATTGAATGATCCAGGCTATTCTGGGCTTATCTGTCTAGCTCTCAATTATAGAAATGTTGCAGAATGCTAGATTCTTCCTATAAACACCATTTTGGAGGAGTGGGCTTGCTTAATAAAGGAAACATTCTCCATGGAAAGCATCCTTGGGGACATTTGATAGTTTATTGTGCTTCAGAAATTCTGGTGCACCATCTTGAAAACCTACCTCCTGATTACAAAGGATTAAAAGGGGCAAAAGGCAATAAAGCCTTTAAATCCTTTTTATCTTGATGTTTGAGAAAAAAATATACAGAAAGTGGATTGGGCTCCCCAGAATATAAAAAGGTCATCTGGATTAGGTACTTGCCATGTTAGCTTTTTTCAGTATGAAAAGAGGGAAAAACGAATATGTGCATGTGTATGTGTTTATACATACACATGTATACTGTGTGCATGTGTGTGTATATATATATATATATATATATATATATATATATATATACACATATATATACACACACATGCAGTTAATACCTCAGTCTCAGTTGTTTCTCTCTTCTGGCCTATTAGATAATTTCTGGCTTCATCTTTTCTGTCCTGCCTGGATAGACCTATGAGTTGCCAGATTTATTCTGGGGGGTTTATGAAGCAGAATCTAAAGAATTGGGGAAGAACAGAAGGAACAAAAGCCATGATGACCTACTCTCATGAGGAAAGTAGTGAGTTTGGCATATAACAATGAAAGGCAATTAATCCTCCAGAATAAAAAGGCAGAAGGGGGTGGGGTGGCTGTTACCTGAGGTGTATGTGTGGAGAGACTCCAGTGAGTGAGGATGTGGCATGAGAATTCTGGGAGATGGTGGGAGTGATTTGGGAAGAGATGATGGAGTTTGAACAGCGAGCATGTGAGCTCACAGAGTGAGCTATTCAGAAAAGCAGGGTATTAGAAAATGAGAGATGATAGGAGGTATTAATAGTAATTGCCATGGACTGTATTTTTGGCTTTCCTTTATTTCCTCAATGAATGAGTAAAGGACAGAATCCCCCAATTTTCAATGAAATGTCACTTCAGGTCTGAACACATGGGTGCAGCCTTTGATAAGGTTTCACCCACAAAGCAACTATCTCACTGGGTACTCTGGCAATGGGATTTTTAAAAAAAGAAATCATACTGTCTTCTCAATGCCCAAGCCTCTGCTTGACCACTGGTTTTACAGTTTTCTTCATATGGCCTAGTTTTATAAAGTGCAGAGCTAAGAAGCAGCTGCCCTCAAATTTAGCCTTGGAGGAATCACTAACTAGTTGCAGGACCCCAAGTCATTCATCTAAAGCAATGATGGGCACTAATTAGGGATATGGGACTAGGGAGTCACAGGTTTTGCACATGTTATTTAACCTTCTTCGGGCATTGTTTCCTGTATCTATACAGTTGGGACATTAGAAGAATCTCCCTTGTGGGGCTTTTAAATGAAATGTTGTAGCAAATTTCACAGCTTCAAGCTCAATAAATATTAGCCACCATTGTTACAGCTGCTATGATTATTATTGGTGGTGGCAGCCTTGTTAATCCCTGGCCCTCAGTTTCCTCATCTTTAAAATGAAAGGATAAGATAAAACTTCCTCTATGCTCCCTTCCAGCTCTAAAAATACTTTCTATAATTCCTGAGTTGAAGAACACCTCCCACAAGAAACAGGCAACGGGCCATGAGACAACTCGTTTTCACCCTAAGTCTCTTACAAATATTCAGGTTATTTTAAAACGCCACTCCCTGGAGAGGGCCCAAGATTTCATTTAACATGAGCTTTGCCAACTTCAGTATCTTGCTCAGTACTACTTGCATACTTATATTACTGAATAAGAAAAAGGGTTGGATTTTTTTTCCTCTTCTCATTTATCACTGACCCTACTTGAACGACTTACAATTTATCCTGTAGGCATGGCGACACTAGTTAGTAGTTCTGCCATTTACAAAAAACATAGATATTCTCAAAAGTATATTTTCCCTTTCCTTTTTTCCTCTACCTTCTTTTTCCTCTTTCTCTTTTTAAAACCCTAGTTCTTCTGTGAGATGAAGCAGACCATCTCTTTCAAAGACTGTTAGGCTATTTCTGCTCTTTCCTTGATTTGCTTGGTAGCATCTCAGCCACAGGAATACAATACTGATAGAGTTGTTGATTGGTCCTAGAATATATCACAGTCCCTAAATACATGAAATTAAAAAAAGAAAAAAAAAATCAACATGGTTCTGAAAGGAAGGTAGTTAAAATTCAGAAAGAGAAATTCTTTAATTAACTTAATAAAATTACTAATGGAAGCATTTTAACTGCTAAATTTAATTTACTTGTCAAGATATCAGGCTACAAAGAGGAGGGAAGAGTAGGAACTCTGCTTCCCATTATGATGTTCTCTATTATAGAATAAATTTGCTTAAAATGAAATATATCACCAAAAGCCATCAATGACATCTTAATTTGGAACAGCCAGTTGAAAAGTAATTAGACTATGAAGCAATCAGTTCTAGTAAATCAGTGTTTCCCTTTACATAAACATACATTTTTCCCCCTATTTATATACAGGAAAGACTAGACCTTCAGGTAGTAAGCAGGCAAAGAAGCTGATTCTTTTGGCTGTCGGTGTTTCTACTTTACATTACCAAGCTGTCAAAACAAAATGTTTTATGATAGGATTAGAAAATGTATAAGCATCTGATTTGATTTAGTGTTTATATTTATATGTTGAACTGAGGAGAGTTTACTTATCATAGGGGTTTAAAAGATTTACATTTGTCTGCTTCTTACTTCCAAAATGCTTTCCAGATCCACAGGCAGCCCTGACACCTTACTTCAATGAATGAAGCCCAGTCAAAAATCAAACAAGAGCTCTGCTTCTCCCTGCAGGGCCTCTCCTAACTTATACAAATAAACGGAGAGAATGTGGTTGCTAATGAGACATGGTTTGAGAGTGAGGTGGGAGTGGTTGAAATTATCCTTTTGTTTAGCCACTGAAAATTCACCATTAGGAATTTCTCACATTGAAACTGACCTTCCTAAAAGTGTATTTGTTTGCTCATTGTTATGAAAAGCACATAAGTGACAGGGGTGAAACAGAAATAATGCATATTTAATTTGATTATAGAAAGTTAGCACAATTTGGCAAAGAAATACCAAAAATTCAAGTACCAAACTACTTTATAGTAGGAAACATTTTCTGTATATATCTTTTCTGATCGCTTTAGTACCCCACGAAGAAGATGTTTTCAATTTCAATTTACAGACATAGAAATGGAGGCCCGGAGAGGTTAAATGTTTGGTGGAGACAGTGGAGGTAGTTAATGAAAGAGCTGGGGCTAGAATTAGGGCTTCTGGGCCCCTGATACTCTTTCTATAACATCTGCTTCTGTGATGGAATCCCATCTGTTATATGCTGAGAGGAAGAGGTGTGAGAAAAATAACTAGAGGAGATATCAATCACTCAGCAAAATATTTATGAAGGACATCATTCAGATATTAGGGGTGTCACCATTGTCACCAGCTCTGAAAAATCAGAGAGGATGATGAATTATGTCAAAGAGAACATTAGCTCAGAAGCTAGAGACTATCTTGCAATGATATGCTTGTGTTAGTATGTATTATTTCCAGAGAATGGTGTGAGATAGGAAAATAAAGAAAAATTTTATAGGGAATGAAAATAAGCTACACTTTGTGTTTAAGAGAGAACTGTGGGAAGTCTCTGAAACGCGGTTCTGGGATCTGCCAGCACACAAATCATTTAACAGTATACAAATGACCTGGCCTTAATAGAGTAAATCAAGTCCATCCTTCCCGAGGCCTATTTAGAAATGTGATCATTGATAACAGCACCACAAAGTACTATTCCTCACTGGAAAACACGAGATTGGAAGGAAATCTAATATGGATAATGCAAAGGGAGTAAGCATTACAATTCGCAATTGTAGACAGGTGTGAAGTAGTCTAAGACAATATAATGAAAGTGTAACAGCCTCCATTGCATGGTCAAAGTGAGAGAACTGGGCGGTACACAGGGACTGCAGGGCCCTTCTGCCTCTAGGAGTCTAGAAAAAGACAATCTGTTATCCTCAGTGGCTGCTCAAGATCCGTACATAACAGGACAGTTGCCCTGAGAGTGGAGACAGCAAGAACTATATAAAAATAGACAGAACAACTTAAAGTTACTAAAGAAAAGATAAGGAGTGCAAAACTGGGAAATGAGATATTGCTAGTAAAAGAGGTTAAATGGAGTAAGGAGGTCTTTTATAAATGTATCAGGGAAAAAAAGTGATCCTCAAGAGAAAAAGACTACTGAATAAATAAGAGAAGGGCATGAAATTAATGATGGCTGAGATATTGACTTCCTGCTTTAAGTCAGTTTTTAAGAGAAAAATGAGAAGAAAATTTGGACAGCTGGAAGGCAATAATGACTTTTAAAAATAAGTATTGACAAAGAGGATGGGAGGAAATTTAGAAAAAAATTAAACATTGTGGCATATACAGATTGTAAGTTTCAGATAATATGCTTTCTAGGGAATTAGATTCCCTGCCTGTGAACAATACACAGACATGGAAGAAGGACAATGCAAACTAGAGAGATGTCGGAAGCTTTTCAAAACAAATTTGTTTCATATAACAGTAAAATAATGGTTGGGGCATATTGGAAAGGCAGACACAGGACAGGCTCTCTAAGTGTTGTGTAAATTTGTGTCATATTTAGTCATGGCTGTGTGGCAATTGCAATTTTTAGAAAATTGGTGAAAACTTTCTTCTTGTATTTAGTGAGAAAGGAAATAAATTGGATACCCCATACAGCTAATATGTATTATAGATACTCTAAAATTGCAAGAGAAGACTGTTACTATTTTATGGGAAAAAAAACT